ATACAAAAACGTTTGAGCCTGGATTTTTTCACTCAGCATATTTCCCTAAAACTCATCCAAGTTGTTCCTGTCAGATCTTTTTTTTTTTTTTTTTTTTTTGGTATTGGGGATTGAACCCAGGGGGACTTGACCACTGAGCCACATACCCAGCCCTATTTTGTCTTTTATTTAGAGATAGGATTTCACTGAGTTGCTTAGTGCCTCACTGTTGCTGAGACTGGCTTTGAACTTGTGATCATCCAGTCTCAGCCTCCCAGGTTGCTGGGATTATAGGCGTGTGCCACCGTACCCAGCCAGATGGTTCATTTTTGACAATGATGAAACTGCATTTTCAACAAGAGTCTGACCAACAGAGTCTCTGATTTTTTGCTTTCTTTTTTGAGATGGAGTCTTGCTATGTTGCCAAGGCTAGCTCAAACTCACCATCCTCCTGCCTCAGACTTCTAGTAGCTGGGATTATGGACATATGCCACTGTGCCTGGATCTGTCCTTCTTCTCTTCATCTCCTTCCTCTCTCCCCCGCCCCTCCCTTTCTCTTCCTCCTTCTCCTCCTCTTCTCTTGGTGGGGATCAATGCCCAGGCCTTGCACAAGACAAGCATGTACTCTACTACTGAGCCCTACCTCCAATCCCCAATTTTCTGCTCCTTACTGTCCACAAATGGAGGAAGTCTTGAGCAGCCTTCCATCTGAAACAGAACCAGTGACTCTGAATACTCAAAATTTTTCCAAGCAAGCAGCTAACACCCTCATCCGGATAGGATAATTCTACAGTCATAAACAAAAGATAAGTTTGCAAATTCAGATGTGGTGTCTTTAGCTTCCCAAGGCTTCAGGCTTCAGGAAGTAAGAAAAAGAAAGATTTCCTCATCCTGTTCCAGTTTGCAAACTGCCAAACTGCTGATTCTGTTTCTTACTCAAAGTACCCTTTAGCGACTGACAGAGAACTGTAAGGCTCTCCAACTGTGGGCTTCTCCAACATGCTCCTTCCATCCAGGCAGTGATGGCCACTGTATCAACAGGCTTCAAGTCTGCCCTGGAAGACAGATCTCACTTCTGCTCCTCTGCAGGGAGAATCTCTCCTGGGAAAATTAGCTTCATCCGGGACTCTAGAAAGTTGGAATATGCCTCGCTGATTTAACACATTCTCTTTATAGTCCTTGTGAGGTTATCTTTCTAAGATGCAAGAATCAACCAGAAGCTACATGAAAGGTGAGTCTTCTGGAATAAGTGAAAGGTGCCTAAAAACTGTCCAGAGCTTTAGAATGAAAATGCCTAAGAGTGAGGGATGATGATAACGATGTCCTGACGATACAGTGCTCCTGCTCGCTGTGGACCATCAGCATCTTGCTACCTGTCCTTGATCATCTGCTGGGAGAGGCAAGAAGGGATCATGTCCCCATTCTTTCTTGAGGGCACCTGACTACACCTATGAGTTAATAACCAGGGTGACATGCCGGGTGCATGGGACTCCTCACTCAGCTGGTGGCATCCACAGCTGCTCATTTAGAAAGGATGGCACTCATACTGGGAAGAGTGGGAGGCAAAAGTTAAATGCTGCTTTTATTGAATTCAGAAAAATAAGCCATTATGGATTTGTAAAGCTTTAAGAAAGATCTCCACTGAATGAACAGACTGCAGTGCCCACTCCTCCAACTGCCTGCCCCAGCTTTCCCACAATTCTCACATCAGAACCTGGCATACAGTGTGTGCTCAGTAAGTGTTTGTAAAATAACTGAATGGAACACTATAGAACAAGTAAGTTTTAATCTGATCCACTTCTCAGGATCAAATAGCTCGAAAAACCCACAATGGGGTCACGTGCCATGAAAAACCATGACCACATGGTCATGAAAAACCATGGAGCAAAGTATAAAACGGGCTAGTTTCTGTCACATCATTTTAGCATATGTCATGCCAGAGATTTGTCACAGAAATGAAGGACAGACTGGACAGGGACCTCGACAGAGTAGATCCTTGTCCCCCTGTACCCATTCCAGATGCAGAGATGGAGGGCAATGTAGGAGGAAGCCTCTGAAATCCTACTTACAAGAGTCCTTCTGGAAAGAACTGAAATGAAGGCAGCAGCAGATAGTGTGGGAGAAAGAAGATGAAAGAGAAAGACATGTGCATGCTAGATGATAGTAGGGGAGTTTACTACAAATTAAAAGTTAAGGAAGAAGAAGTGTGCCATTTTAGATCACAGAGACTAAGTGAAAGACCCATGTCTCCTGTTTAAGGAAATAACAAGACTACAAAATGTAACCATATGGCTAGAGCCTGGCAGGGCCTACCACCATCTCCCACAGAGGTTCTAACTATGCTGCAAGGAGTGGGCCTGTGCAAATGTACAGGAGAGAGGGAGGGGGTGTGACTCAGTGGTACTGCGCTTGCCTAGCATGTGCTAGGCCCTGGGTTTGATCCTCAGTACCAAAAAATAACTTAATTAATAAATTATTTTAAAAAACGTGGCATGCCTATAAGCCCAGTGATGCAGGAGGCTGAGGCAGAAGGATCACAAGTTCAAGGCCAGTCATGACAACTTAGTGAGACCACAGAGGTACCAGTCCACTCCACGAAGTCAGCAACAAAAATCTCACTCCCCAACTTGACAGCGCATGCTGAGAAAACTGGTCTTAGGAAAATAATTGTAAAATTCTAAATAAAACCCCAGCAAATAGATTTTTCCTTCAAACTGAATGTTAATAGTATATTAAAAGTCTACTACATCAAGGTCAAGATGAATTTATCCCAGGATATATTCATATTAGGTAATCAATTGGGCATAATTCACATCAATCCCTGGTTCTGCAAAAACAAAAACTTAAAAAATGGATGTTGTGGAAATTTTTTTTTGGTACTGGGGATTGAACCCAGGGGTTCTTAACCACTGAGTCACATCCTCAACCCTTTTGTGTATTTTTATTTAGAGACAGGGTCTTATTGAATTGTTAGGGCCTCACTAAGTTGCTGAGGCTGGCTTTGAACTTGCGATCCTCCTGCCTCAGCCTCCTGAGCTGCTGGGATTACAGATGTGCACTACCACACCTGCCAATAGAAAAATATTTAGTGACTCAGAAATAAGTATCCTCATGGAATACTTAAGTGATGAAAGCAATTATAATATGACATCTAGATAAAAACAAGAAAAATAAAAGCAAAATCATCAAAAAGAGAAAAAGAAACCAAGCATTATACACGTAACATGGATGAATCTTATACTAAAGAAGTGAGAGAGAAAGGATTACATATTGTATGATTTCACTTATAGGACATTTCTGGAAAAGGTACACTCTAGAGACAGAGAGCACAACAGTCATGCTGCGGGTGGAAGAGAGCATGGGACTGACAGTGGGAAGGACCTTTTTGGGAAATGGAAGTGTTCTAATGCTGGACTATGGAGAGGCTATCACAAGAGTACAGATGTCCTTACATCATCAGCCATATATAAAAAATGGGTGAATTTCACATTACATAAATTTTATTTTATAAAGGATACACGAGAAAACTAAGCCAAACTAAATTAGGTACATGGCTATAACCACTGCCCAATATTAGGATATGATGGGGGTTGCTTCTATCTAGAAGGCAAAAGGAAGGGAATTTTTATTTTCGGTCCTTGGCATCTGAGAACTGGCCTGGCAATCACAGCTGGCCTCAGAGTCATTACAAGTTTGCCTGGTGCTCACAGCTGGGCTACATTATTCTCTTGTTAGACACAGATGATCTCACAGACACCAACATCAGCAAGGTCACACTGAAACCATGATGAAGTGAGAAAAAGCAAAACCCAGGTGGCATGGAGTGGGATGATGTGAGATTTAAAAGCTATGAGTTACTCATTTCTGGAATTTTCCATTTAATATTTTCTGGTTTTGTTTGTTTTGTGAAACTGCACTGGGGACTGAACCCAGAGTCTTGCATACTAAGCTATATCCTAAGTCCTTTTCTTCAATTTTACTTTGAGATGGGATCTCATGTTGTCCAAGTTGGCCTTGAACTTATGATCCTCCTGCCTCAGGCTGGGAGTAGCTGGGATGAAGGAGTAGCGTGTGCCATCACACCAGATTCATTTAATATTTTGGAACCTCAGTTGACATGGTAACTGAAACCTTGGACAGTGAAACCACAGATCAAGGAGAATCACTGCATTTGACCATTTTGAAGTGGTTTCAGACACCAAATGTGACTCTTGATTTCCTCACTGGTCAATATGCATTTTTTTTTCTGTGTTATTAAATTAGTAATTTTTAAAATTGATTGATTGCAGAGCTGGAGATAGAACCCAGGGTCTCACACATGCTAGAAAGTCATGTCAATAAATTTAATTAGGAGAACTCTTTTTTTGGTAAATGAACTGCTAAGTCAAATGCATTACCAATGGACTATTTCTAGAAATATCTGAAGACGTCCACACATGACCTTTGGTGGCTTGAATACATATCTCTTTGCCTATCCCTATGCGTTTGGCCCAATCCCAATTTGAGGATTTATATGAAGGTCCTGATTCTCCCTGGGCCAACACTCTACTGATGTGGAAAGCATTCTAGGGACTGAACAGTCAGACCTGCTTTGGTGCCTAGTTTAGTAGTAACCATCTGGAGTGGAGAACTGAATCTTGGTATAAACAACATATTAGACCAGTAGTTTAATTCCAGATGCCCTTTCTCCAACTGTAAAGTAGGACCAAACATTTGCTTCCATCTTAAAAGAATATACAAGGTCATGGTGTGTGGACACTCGGGGACTGAGTCATTAGAAAGAATGTTCTGTGGTGACATCAATACTCGCATTAGTCTGAGCACATTATCCCAAAGTGGAAGTGTCTTTCTCTTTGGCAGGGGTGAACACATCAACAAAGTACAAGACAGAGAGAGTGCTGAGTGTACCTGCCACATATTGGGCCCCATGGCTAAGAACATCAGAGCCCTGAATAATGTTCCAGGAAGAGGGGGGCACCCTGGGGTAGTAGCAACCAGTCAAACAGGACTCTCCCACCTACCTGCCCAAAGCTCCGAGGTTATGTGAGGGGCCATCGGGGCAGCCATCACCAGCAGGGCACACAGAGCGTCCTCAAATTCGGAGCTGTGGAGAACGACTCTCTGAGAGGCTTGCTAATAAGGAAAAAAGAACAGCGTAAGAAGACCGAGGTGTCTGAAATAAGTATGACTAAGAAAAGCCATTAACTAATCTGAAGTTCAGAGACAGAGATAGGAAGAAATCCTCCTCACTGCCCAATTTTGCTCAGGACAAAGGATTCCTCCACTTAATCAGCAGTATAAATAGCACAGGAGCAGCAACATCAAATACACTGCTCTTCTGAGCATTGACCATGCCCTTGGTGTGACGGGAACTCACCTAGTTCTCACAACACCCTTCAAGGGCAGTATTCTTACCCTGTTAGACAGGTGAATAAGCTGAGCATCAGAGAGAGGGAGGGCTACCTGCTTCTGGGCAGGCAGTTAGTCAAACTCCCAACCTCTCTGCGGGTTTCCTGTGCACTGCAGGCCCAGACAAAGGCACAAGACCTGCTCAAAGATTCCCCGACCCCCCAGGGCAGGGGTCCTTTCCACCTCCCAGGGTTCTCAGAGACCCCTTCCCTTACACAGCTGTGCCAGGTACAGTAAGCATTCATTCCTCCCCAAGGCTTATCAGCTACCCTAGTCAAAGCCTCTCAGCTCACAGAGGATGACTCCAGGCAGGCTTTCAGGATGAGAGGACCAGAGGGCAGACTCTGCTTTCAAGGAGGAAACTGACAAATGACTTGGGGATGTCACAGGGTTCCGTGGGGGTGGGAGGGAGCAGGCTGGTCCACATAGCCAGGTGTGAGTTGGGTGTGTAGTCAAGGAGTGGCCCAGGGAGAGAAGCTATTCTGAGGTGGTTTAATAAAGAATGTTGCCAGAAGGACTTTGAGGAGATGGGCAGTTCTCATGGCCCTGGGGAAGCCATGCTAGAAACCAGCCTGGCCAGGTTGTGGCAATCAGTACAAGTTCAAAACTCCCCAGGACAAATATGACTTTGGTTTAATGGTATGTTTGTAAAACTTGAAAGTAGGATCCAGCAGGGTGTGGTGGCTATGCCTGTAACCCCAGAGATTGGGAGGCTGAAGCAGGAGGACTGCAAGTTTGAGGCCAGTCTGGGCAACCTAATGAGAACCTTTTTCAAAACAAAAAATAAAAAAGGGCTGGGGATATAGCCAGTTTACAACCAGGATACTCCAGCTGTGAGGGCCTTAGTCTGTGCCTGTGTATACCCTTCAACCCAGGTGTCCCCTGTTGATGATTTCTAATTACAGGATTTGGAACTCCAAATGTTCTCCCATGGGTAAACAGTAAAATGACTTATGTCATATCAATAAGAAGGAAATATGCCCCCATCATTAACATGATTTCATCCAAGAATACTTAATATCAGAAACTGTTCATGAAATAGGCCTAAGTAAACACATGATTTGAAAGGGTCCTTTTGGGCTGGGCATGTAGCTCAGTGGTGGAGAGCTAGCCTACCATGCTCAAGGCTTTGGATTCCATACCCAGCACTGCAAAAAAAAAAAAAAAAAAAGTGTCCATTTGATTAAAAATCTCATTCATGAACATGATTTGCATTTGAGTGCACAGACACACAAAGTTTCACATTTTTGGAGAGCGGCATAAAATATTTTTTCTGGGTGGTACAATTGTGAGTGGTTTTGTGTTTCTCAAGTGTTCTGGGCTATGTGTTGTTATTTAGTCAGGAAAAAAAATGAGGCAAATATTATAAAAAATTGAATTAAAAATGAAATATCTGCCCCCTTGCAGCTTTTTCTGTCCATAGCCTCTCTGGCCGAATTTTCTATGCCTTTAATCATGAAGTCATGTTCAAACTTTTTAAGTGGTTTTACAAAGATCATGTATACATCCTCTATTTCTTATTCATTTTTGAGACAGTACCTCACAGTGTTGCCCAGACTGGCCTTGAACTCTTTGGGCTCAAGGGATCCTCCTGCCTCAGCCTCCCAAATAGGTGGACTACAAGTACACACCACCATGCCCAGCATACCCTCATTTTTAAAAAAAGAAAATCACGTATAAAATTTTTGGTATCTCTGGACCTAGAAGAATATAGTTTATGAGCCCTACTTTTTAATTTTATTTTTATTGAACCCACGTGCTCTCTACTACTGAGTTACACCCCCAGCCCCTTTTTTTCTCACTAAGAGTGGTGGGGATTACAGGCCTGCCTGCTGCTAACAGTTTTAATGCACACTTTTTGTTGTCTAATAGCTAACCTCATATGCTGACAAGTTCTTCCGCTGGCAAGAAAAATGGGAGTCTTGTGTAGCAAGAAGATGAATGGTACTTGAAAGATTGGTTTTTGTTTTCAATGAGAATAATTCTGATCCATCTAAATTAAGTAAATATAGGACATTATCCAAAGTACATGTATGAAGACATGAATTGGTGTGAACATACTTTATATCCAGAGATATGAAAAATTGTTCTATATGTGTAATAAGAGTTGTGATGCATTCTGCTGTCATGTATTTAAAAAATAAAACCAATACAAAATAAAAAAATAAATTAAGTAAATATAAAATATAACAGTGTTAGGAAAGTATCACAATTTATTCAGGCAGTGGGGGAATGAAGAGCCAGATGAGAGGAGAGAGGCCTAAGCCTGATCTGGGCATGTCATCTAACTTCCTTGGGCTTCTTTCTTTCTTTCTTTTTTTTTTGTGTGTGTGTGTGCCTGCTGGGGATGAACCCAGAGCCTTATGCAAGCTGGTAAGTGCTCTACTTCTGAGCCACAATCCCAGACCCTCCATGTCTTTATCTGCAAACTCCTGGGGAAAAATCAGTTTGCATCATGCAATCTTTTAAAAAAATTCTAGCAATAAGAAAAGGTTGTGACTATGGAGAAAAAAAACAAAAAACAAAAAACCTCCTCCCCCCCCCTTTTTTTTTTGGTAGTGGAGATTTAACCCAGGATCTCATGCATTCTAGACAAGTGATTTATCACTGAGCTATATCACTTGCATGTAGGGCACTTACCAAGAGGGCACTGCTGAGTCCCATCAGCTGAGAGATTGCAGAGTTCAGTGAGAAGTCCTCTGTGAAATGGGCAGTCACCTATTGGTAAAAGTTTAATAATTAATTCACTTTTCTCAAAAAATTCCTTTAAACTTTCCAGATAAACTCAAATTATCAAAAAAGTGAAATTAAATGACTGTGAAGACATTTATCAATGTATTTACTATCTCAAATCATCACTATGTTTCATCAGCACAAATATATTTTAAAGACAGTGCTGTTTCCACTATTGAAGACTTTTTTCACTATGTAAGACTGTCCATATATCTTCCATATATCTGAGACAGTTTGGGTTCCCATCATAAGTGCTTACAAAACATTGCTAGTTGTTTATTCAATAGGAGGCAGGATCACTAATGAGCAAGCATCAAAACAACAGTAAACAGAGACAGGTCAGGGATGTCACTTCTCCTCGGTTAAATTCTGTTTATTTAATTTAGTTTTTTTTTTTTGGGGGGGGGGAGGTACCAAGGATTAAACTCAGGAGCACTCAACTCCTGAGCCACATCCCCAGCCCTATTTTTGTATTTTATTTAGAAACTGGGTCTCATTGATTCTGTTGAGTTGCTTAGCACTGACCCTCAGTGTTGACCACTTGAGTTGCTTAACATCTCGCTTTTGCTGTGAGGCTGGCTTTGAACTCACAATCCTCCTGTCTCAGCCTCCCAAGCTGCTGGGATTACAGGCGTGTCTCACCATGCCCAGCTATTTATTTAGTTTTTTTATGTGGTGCTGGGGATGGAACCCAGTGCCTCATGAATGTTAAGCAAGCCCTCTACCCCACCCTCCTTGGTTAAATTCACAAGAAGGTTCTTGGTGTTCAGGACAAGGTTAGTTTTACATTTTGAAATGTAGAGAAAACATAAAAACACTAATGTGATTTGTCAGCTTTTTCATGTTTTTGTTTCAATTCTGACCATGGGCAAAAATATAGAAAAATAGCACATCTTTAAGATTTCAAGAACCCAAGTCTATTATCTGACAGAAGAGAAGAATTTGCCAGATCCAGAGAGAAAATATGTGCTATGAAAACAATTGCTTGGGTCTCACTCAGATCATTATGGTCAATTCAGTGAGTTCTACTTCTGCACACAGAGAGGGACCGAGGGTGGAGACAAGGCAGAAGAAGTGTCCTCAGAGACCATGCTAGACCCCGCACCACTTCAGGTTACACAAACCACAGAGGAAAAACCCTGCTGTGGCACCAAGGCATCCGTCATCTGAACCTGAGTCCAGATGAGTGACCATGGCTGAACTTAGAAAGTTTGAATCAACACAACTTTTTTTTTTTTTTTTTTTTTGGATCAGTGCTGGGGACTGAACCCAGGGCCCGGCACATGTTTGGTGAGCACTCAAATCACTGGGCTACACCCCCAGGCCTGAATCAGCACATCTTACAGAAAAAAAAAAAAAGCCTAAGAATTTGGGGTAAGAGACATCCATTAAGAATTCTGTTGCTAGGGTTGGGCTGTGGCTCAGTGGTGAAGCACTGGGTTCGATTCTCAGTACCACATATAATTAAAAAAAAAAAAAAAAACAAACAAATAAATAAAATAAAGGTCCATCAACAACAACAACAACAACAACAACAACAACAACAAAAGAATTCTGTTTCTGTTAATACACCACAAGCAACATGTCATCAGTGAGGTCCTGGATGAGCTCCTCCAGCTGAAGTGTCAGATGTGAACACATGGGGAAGCGGGCAACTCCCTGAGATCTGGTGGACTCCGTGACACAGCATTAGAGAGCCATTTCCTGAGGCCATCTCTTTCCAGTAGAATGTCTGTTCCGCTGCCCAGTTTTTGTGAAATATCCACAGTAGGAGGAACAAGTAGGAACAAAGCAGGAAGAAGCCCCAGGATGGCTCAGCCCAAGGCAGGGGACCACGTCTCCCACAGAGAGCCCAGTGACAGAATCAGTCAGTGTCCACAGCAGTTTCTGACCTGAGAGATGACGGAGTTCTTGTACTCCCAGAGCTTCCTGGCCTCGGCTCTCTCTGCACTGCTCAGCAGCTGGGGTTGGGGATCCTTCCCAGAAGCCCTGGCCTCGATAAATCGGGTTGCCAAGGACCACAGACGCTGCTGCCATCTCAGCACTCCAGGGAGAGCGTCGGCTGGGTTTAGTGGCAGTAAAGGAGACAGAGAAAGAGAGCACTTGTAAGAAGGGTCGATTTGATGATAAGTGAGCCAAGAAATGCACCTGTGAATTGACGAGATGCTTCCCTGTGCCCACGTCTCCAGCGTCTGGGAAGTCAGACCAGGAATGATTTGGGCATCTCTCAGCTCTCGGATATTCCAAGTACAGGACAGCAGAGCTACTCAAAATTTTGCCTGCCAACTGTCCTGGGACCAGATCAGTCAGGATGGGCATCAGCACACTGCTTCCTTGATTAAGTGAGCTTGCTGTGGAGCCAATGGGGTACTTGGGTAGGGATACATGGTGGCATGGCCTGCAGCCGACACTTGGGAACAACGCTGCTGTAGAGGGAAGAACTCTAACACGATCCCCATCCTTGCCAGATACGCATACGTTAAACAGTTCAAACACGTTCACCAGATCTTTCTGTGGGTGGTGCTGGGGATTTAACCCAGGGACACTCTACCATTGAGCGTCCCTTTTTAAATTTTTAAAAATTTGAGACACGGTCTTGCTAAATTGCTATAATCCTCCTGCCTCAGCTGCCTAAGCCCCTGGGATTACAGGACTGTGCTGCCCCAACTGGCCACGTTCGACAAATTTGTTAATGTGACCTGGTGAAGTCAAATGGTTTACCTGGTGGTTCTTGGTCACATGACTGGCCAAACAAAGGCCAGTCCAGGTTTCTGTACTGTTTGGGCCAGGTGTTCTCAAGCCTGGGTGCACAGATGAGCTTTCTGGGAAGCTTACTGAAATAGGTTCCTGGAACCTGTCCCATGGCTGTGTCTTATATCTCTGCTTTCCAAGTCCCCTGTGGTTCTGATGCAATATATGAGAGGACTAGCATCCATCACCACTGGACTACATTCCCACCGGACAGGTGTGTTGAAACAACTGGGAATTCCTTAAATAACACACTTGCTCTACATAAGGTCAAGGTCCCAGGCACTTCCTTTCCTTCTCCCACAAACACACTTGGGGCAGATCACAGGAAGGACAAGTTGATAACCTAGGATGGCCAGGTGCTCAAGATTAGGTTACTTCACATCCTCTTAAATCTGAACCACTACAGAAAGAAACACCTCCAAGGGGAGATGGAGATACTGAGGTTGCTGGGAGACCACAGGTAATATCCCACCTAGGTCCCCACTTGAGGTTTTCTGCATTGGTAAGGGAGGACTGCCCTCACCCAGGTTTTGTTTTTGTTTTTGCTTTTTAAAGAAAAAAACCCTTCAGAGCAGATTCAGAGATAGGCCTCAGTACCAGAGCAGGCCTAGGAGCAGCTCTGAAGGCATCTGTGTCTGAGGCAACCACTCTCCAGGGGTGGTCTTGTAGAAGTTACAGAATCACCACAGAGTCCCCTGCAAGGCATATTTCCGGACCTCACCATGGAGGCTGTGCAGGTCTGGGGTGAGGCCTGGGAACCTGCATTTGTAGCAAGTTCCCCAAATGATCCTGAGGCTCGCTTACACTGGAGAACACTGGCCTGAGGGGGCCACAGGAGGCTGGGCTAACAGCTTCCTACTCTATGGAGCCGAGTCCTAGAATTCTCCACTACCGTCTGCAGCGAAGTCATTTCCTTCCCCCAATTCCTGCAGTCCAGGGCAGATCACAAGTGGCAGGCCAGGAAGGGGAAGGTGACTTACTCTTCACATCCCACAAGATATCCTTCTCTGGAGGGGAGGCAAAAAGGATGTAGAGCCGAATGGTGTCGATGCCATACTGAGAGACGACCTCTTCGGGCTCCACCCCGTTGTGCTTGGACTTACTCATCTTCTCCCACGACACCTCCAGCTTCTCCTTCGTTTCTGCATGAACAGGAGCAGAACCTAGAGGCCAAAAGAACACATAGAATGCTATGTGATCCGAACGTCTCCCACAACACAGGGCTCATCAGAAATCCCAGGGAGCAAGAATGGCGCTCCTTCAGTCAACGCGCCTCTTTCTCTCCCTCTGCGTGTTATGAAATATGTGCTGTTGTTTTTAAAATAAAAACACAAACCTTCCTTTCATAAATAAACACACAGATATGATGGCTTGTGCCAGCTTTTCGGCAAAACAAAACAATATCCCCTTTGTAAGTAAATTATTTTTGTAAAAAAAAATAGGAAAGTAAAAAAAGAATAAGAAGGGCTAGGGGTGTGGCTTTGTGGTAGAGAGCTTGCCTTGCACGCACAAGGCCCTGGGTTCCACCCCCAGCACCAGAAACAAAACAAAACAGAAACTTGCACAAGTTGCTGTTTTCTCTATGGATTCAGGGTCTTAGAAAAGCAGAGTCCTCTAAGTGGTCACTTCACTCTGAGATCTGCTGCCTCTATTTATCCCATAGTCATCAAAGCATGATCTTGGCTGGGCATGGTGGTGAACACCTGTAATCCTAGCAGATCAGGAGGCTGAGGCAGGAGGATCATGAGTTCAAAGTCAGCCTCGGCAACTTAGCAAGGCCCTGAGCAACTCAGTGAGATCCTGTCTCAAAATATAAAAAGAGCTAGGGATGTTGCTCAGTGGTGAAGCGCCCCTAGGTTCAATCCCCAGTACCAAAAAGAAAAAGAAAAAACAAAAGAAAAAAAAACAAACAAACTTGATTTTTTGTAATCTGGGCATATGGGGCGACTCACTGTGGTGGTCCCTTTGTGGTATGATGACACCCCTCCTTGGGAAGTGTCTTCTCCCTTACCCACACACCACTGTCCAGATGCGGCCAAAAGAAGAGGCCCATGTTGGGATGTGGTGACCTTGTTGTATGCCCCTGGGGAAGGGACTGAAAGGATACAGGACAAGGCTCAGCCTCTTTCTGAGGAACTGGAGCTGAGAGACCCAGAAACTGTTTTGATGTTGGGCACTGGAACCATCAGGCACTAAGGAGTTAGGGCAAGACTTGCCACTGTGGCTACCCAAGGTCACTTTGTAAACTGACCCAGGGCAGAGTACAGTCCAAGTCTGGCAGAGGAGAGAAAGAAGAACAGAGAGCAGCAGGAGGAGGGCAGCAGGCTTGGGAAGAGATGGAGAAAAAGCGTCTGGGGCCCTCCTGTGTGCTGTGGATGGGCTGCAGATTCCCTGTCTCCCATCCCCGTGTTAAGCCCACTTTTAGGTGAGTTCTGTCCCTAACTCCAACAGCAACCAAACTCCCAAGGGACTGATGTATACACCTAAAAGCCAACTGGACACGCCCTGAGAGTCCGTCTGTTAAGACGATGAAACCTGTCCTTGCTGACTGAAGCTTTCTCGCCCAGTTGGCAAGTCCCTGGGGAGGGAAAGGATGTTCACATCTCTGACTGGTCCCAGGACATCAGGGCAAAGGGAGCCTGAAGTCCTGGAGCACATTTCCTCCAGGCTGTGGTGAGGCTCAGGGAACCACTCCCTCCTCTACCCCACCCTGGGCTAGGACCAGCTTTTATAGCACTATTGTGCAAATTAGGAAAATATATCTTTCTGGGTAGAGAAGTAGAGAAGATAGAAAATGGTGTTCTCTTAGTTGGGTATAGTGGCACACGCCTGTAATCCCAGTGACTCAGGAGGCTGAGGCAGGAAGATTGCAAGTTTGATGCCAGCCTGGACAGCTCATGGAGACCCTGTTTCAAAATATAACTAAAAAGGGCTGGGGATGTGGCTCAGGGGTAGAGCACTCACTCACCTAGCATGTACGAGGACCTGGGTTTAATCTCCACTAGAAGTCCCACAAGCAAACACATGAGGGATGCTCTCTTTCAGTAGATGAGGCCCCAGAGGTATGGTTTGGCAGTGTCTGGATATCAGGCCCTGTTGATTGCCTTGGCCAGGTGCCTTTGTGCAGTGCACAAACTGTACAGCTATACGTGGGCAGCCTTGCCCATAACACAGAGAGCACTTTACTAATAGCTAAAATTTATATGACTATGGCCTGTTCTGAAAAGACACTGACTGTTTGTTTCTCCAGCTTCCCATGGACTGCACCAACCATTCCAAACCCTGACACATTTCTACTTTGATTAGGTAATTCTATCAACTACTTCCAGCTAAACCGTCTCTTTAGTGTTTGGCTTGGGGGACTCTGTACCATCTAAGTCCGGATGGGTCAGTTTACAAAGTGACCTTGGGTAGCCACAGTGGCGAGTCTTGCCCTAACTCCTTAGTACCTGATGGTTCCAGTGCCCAACATCAAAACAGTTTCTGGGTCTCTCAGCTCCAGTTCCTCAGAAAGAGGCTGAGCCTTTAGCGGTAGAGCGCTTGCCTTGCCCATGAGAGGCCCTGGGTTCGATTCTCAGCACCACATAAATAAATAAAATAGAGATATTATGTTCACTTACAACTAAAAAGTAAAAAAATAAAAGAAAGAAAGAAAGAAAGAAAGAAAGAAAGAAAGAAAGAAAGAGGCTGAGTCTTGTCCTGTGTCCTTTTGATCCCTTCCCCAGGGGCTTACAACAAGTTCACCACATCCTAATCTGATCTCATCCATTAAGTGCTGGTTTTCTGAATTGAGTGGCCAAGGGCTGGGGGTTTTAACAGCTCCCTCTATGTACACCCCTCCCCCGATTTCCTAACATGTCGTTCATGTCACTTGTGTGTTGGGTGCACGTGACATATCCTTATGATGCCTCCTAAAGATCTGCTAGGAGGAGATGCCTTTGAGGAGGCTGAAGACACAAGTGGAGGGAAAGGGCTTGGGGAAGCTGGGAAAAGGGGTCTAGTGAGAAGTGCGAGGGGCTGAGGGGCTGCAGACAGAGTAGGCAGGGTGGAGGCCCCAAGGCTCTCACACACACCGCTAGGCCTCGTGGGGAGAAGATGGGAGAGCCTCAGTCATAGAAGAATGTCTCCTGGGCCTGGGGCTCTGCCCCTGAGACGAGCTGTCAACCCGGCGATGCCCAAGTGGATGCTGGGTTACCTAGGAAGGAGAACCCTGCCAGGAGCTGAAGTGACCTGTGGGCTGGAGCAGCCTGCAGAGGGCCCAGCTGAGCTGCAGAGAACAGGGGGCCAACAGATCTCCTGCATTTCCCACCCAGCCAGGGCCAGGGGCAGATGCCTACGAGCTGAACAGCTCCCAGTCTGGCCTTGGCTCTCTGCAATAGCCTGGACCAGATGGGACAGGGCTTACCTGTGAGGTCTACCTCCTCTCTCCGCAGATACTGTCCAGAAGCTAGGCGGAATGTCTGCCCCTTGATGAGGCCCTGGGCCAGCAGCTTATGAAAAGGCTCCCTGTGGAAAGAAAAGGAAAAAAGAAGAAGGGGTGGGATAGGAGGCATCTAGAAATCAGCAACACATGCCACCCTTGCTGAAGAGTGGAAAGAACCGCCCTTCGTGAAAACAAGTCTGCCGACCAACTTGCAGACCAGCTTGAACAAACGCGATGACATTAAGTCAGATTGGCTCTCTTTAAAGACTGACCTAATATTTTTCTTTTTTGGTAACCAGAGATTGAACCCAGGGAACTTAACCACTGAGCCACATCCCCAGCTTTTTTTTCTTTTGAGACAGGGTCTCACTAAGTTGTAGGGCCTCACTAAGTAGCTGAGGCTGGCTTTCAACTCGTGATCCTCCTGCCTCAGCCTCCCTAGCTGCTGGGATTACAGGCGTGCACCACCACACCTGGCAACAGTCCTACTTGCTACTACCAAAAGCAGAAAGAGCCTCAGATTTGGAAGGCCTGGGTTTGAATCTCATTCTGCTTCTCAGGCAAGTCACTTATTTGCTCTGAGAGTCCGGCTGCTCATCTGTAAATGGGAAAGGAAAGCCTGCCTTCAAGTGTTTCTAGGATGAGGGAATGGAACAATGCATGAAAAAACTTGTACGTCCAAGAACTGCACAAATATCAGCTGCAGGCCCAGCTCCACAAAGGGAGGGCCCAGAGGGTTCCTTGCTTTGTTCCTTAATTTGATATACAGGGCCTGCCTACTTTCTCTAAAAACATTTTAAATCATACAAGCTAAACACAAACATATCCTTTCTGTTCAAATCCTTGCTGGGTCTACGCCCCTTTGAGGAGGCAGTTGTTAGTTTTGTTTATATCCCTGGAAGTCTGGAGACTTTTTCAACATGTTTATGTACATGAATGTGTATATACCTGCATATGGCTTTAAAGATTTTTCTTGATTGAAATAGGTGGGATCATGCCAAATGTACTACTTTGTGGTATTTTTACATAATGGTATGAATCAATTTTTCCATAATAGTCTATATAGATCCATCTCATTTTTAAAATACCTACCAGGTGTTCTACAGTCTAGATGAATTATAATTTACTTATAGTGTCTGTTTTTAGAAAGGTGTTTTTAATTTGTGTGTGTGTGTGGCACACTGGGAATTGAATCTAGGGGCTCTCTACCACTGAGATACATCCCCAGCTCTTTTTATTTCTTAATTTGAGACAGGTCTCATTAAGTTGCTGAGGCTGGCCCGAAACTTGTGATCATCCTGCCTTGGCTTCCTGAGCCACTAGGATTATAGGCATGTGCCACTGTGCCCAACTAAAAAGTAGTTTTAATCACACTCTTACTGACTGAAGAGTGAAACAGAAACTTCTCTTAAGAGGACAAGTTGAGATTAACCTTCAGGCTGAAATTATTTTAAATTTGAAATGGCTTATTCTTATGAACCTGCCCGATTTAGTTCTGACGTGTTTCAGCAACAGCTATTGCGAATGCTCACATGCTGACATGTTTCAGCAACAGCTATTGCGAATGCTCACATGTACACAAGATTGTGTTGTTCAGGGAAGGGGGAGGACTGTTCACAAAGTGAAGGCCTCGTGATCTCCATGAACGTCAGCAGCAGCATGACATGCCTTCCAAACATAGAAGCCCTGAGGCACTTCAAGTTCACTTACATGGTGATAGGGTGGATCTTCTATTTAGAGGTCCCAAAACAGTGACCTTGAAAAGGCCCCACAGGACACACCCCAAACGTTAGTGCTGTGGGTAGCAAGAGCTGGCTTTGTTAACAGGCTCCTAATTTTCCATGCAAGAATATCTGATTCAGATGGATACTGATACTGTTAAGGTTCTGCCTGATTTGTGTACTGAACACTTGTGTGGATGGAAAGAAGTGATTTGAAGGAAATTCTCCAGTAGATTCAGGAGGATAGAGAAGGCAACTAGAGACTGGAAAAGAAATGCAGTGACAGTAGAAGAAAAGAATTCCTGTTTTGCATTTAACAATCTTGTTATGAGCATGTGTGTAAATGTATGTTTGTCATTAATGGTGGTGGCAGGAGGGGGGTACATTTTCCAAGGTTGGAAAGATCCAACATACTTAACACTCAAATGGAAACGTAAACAATAGAGACCTTATCTAGTATATGGTTGCATTATTCAATGTCAAAGGATCATTGAGCATACTATGCATTAATCTGGAAGACATTCCACATGTGCACATAAAAGTAATCACACCACTTTTCCAGCTCCAAAAAAATGGTGGGGGATGGGTACCAGGGACTGAACTCTGGGGCACTGGACCACTGAGCCACACCCCCAGCCCTATTTTGTATTTTATTTAGAGGCAGGGTCTCACTGAGTTGCTTAGTGCCTCTCTTTTACTGAGGCTGGCTTTGAACTCGGGATCCTCCTGCCTCAGCCTCCCAAGCCACTGAGATTACAGGCGTATGCCACTATGCCTTGCCTAAAATAAATTTTTTAGTCTTTAAACTTCTGTGACTCCCACTTCCTCTAATATATTCTTCTGGAAAGGTCACAATTGGCAGGAGAATGATGTCATCTTGTGTCACAGTTCATGTCCCCAGCAAGATTCCCAGAAACTGTGATTCTTTTACATAGAAGGATTTATGAATCAAAGGTACTTGGTTCTTAAACTGCTTTTTAGCACAGAAGCACAACGAAGGAAGGGCCATGCTGCTATGTTTGAGCTATTTGTGAGGAAGGAAGGCTGGCCCAGACATCATAAGGAACTTTGTGTCCTCAGGCCTTTCAAGTCCCCCAGACTTTTGACACACGAGGACTCAGGTCTATATTTTTCCAGCTCCTCTTTGATTCAGGAAAGCAAGCCAGTCAATAAAACCGCACAAGGAGCTCAGAAAACTATACTAACAGACCAAACGTGGGCTTCTCTCTACCATCCCTCCAGCCCCTATTGACTGTCTTCTCTGCCACGTATGCACTTGCTCTTCCGAGGCCACATGGAGGTGGCTGCTGGAACATGCCATGCTCCTCAGCACTCTGTGTCCCTCTGCAGGAATGCCTTCCAGCTCAGGCTCAAGAAGCCTAGATTCATTCTTAGACATCTCTGCACTCAGGCATTCCCTTTCCTGGCTGGCTGTCCCTATCCCCTATACACAGTCCCCTTCTCACAGTTCTGGGCCCTCCTTTGTGTTCTCAGCAGCCAGCACACCTTGCCGGGAGGCATGTGGCCAGGATGTTTTGTGATTCCATGAAAAGAACAGTGCATCCCAGCTCTATGCTCCCCATGGCAAGGACCCCTCTCTTATTCCTCCTTCCATTCCCAACCCTGGCACTGAGCTCAACCCAGGGAAGCCTTGTTTAAAAATATCAAATGGTTTTATGAATAAAAGGACAGGTAAATGGATGGTGGGATGGAAGAGAAACAGCCTGGGTGTGGGCTCTTTCTTAGTTCCTGAAGTCATTCTAGCTAAATTGACATGCACCTGAATTTCTCACCTCATTTCATAAATAACACATCAGATTTCAGCAAAAGACAACATTGTGGCTACTTGAGATCAAACAGGTGAGGGACAAGGCTGGGTATATACACAAAACAAATTAAAGTATTCTACAAGATGCAGTGCTGTCCTCTAACACCCAGGGCGCCTTGCTGGGATAAACCGGGGCTGATTTGTGCACATGGGGGCACATAATTTTGTTAATTTTTTAGATTGGAATTTTTGTCTCAGATGACTTTACATGCCTAACAGAAAAGAAACAGTGACCTTTCCTGATGCACTTGGTGCCAGCAGGCTCAATTTGCTGTTACCGTGTTAGGCGCTACTGTCTCTTCAGGATTTAAGGTGCTCCCCCACCCTCTTCTCAGTGTGAGCACTGGAGCTGTAGCTTGTGGCAGGTCACATGCTTAGCATATGTACCTCCCTGGGTTCAGTCCCCAGCAAAAAAACCCCCAAAGAGCCTCAAAAACAAAGCAAAAAAATGTCTTTGAGACAGAAGGAAGGAAGGAAGAATCTGGACTCAAAGATAAAGATGAGTAGAATGATTAAAATCAGCAGCATTAAGACTCAAGGGGAGGAGGAACACAGAATCCTTTCTTTTTTTTTTTTTTTTTGCATTTTGTCAAATGGCCCACCACTGCCACCTTCTGGGAATGTGTAGAATTGCAATGGGCCAGAATCATCCCAATCTTGGGGCAGCTGGGATTCTGCCCTAAAACTACACTCCTCCTGACTTTCCTCTCATCCCCTCAGTCTCTCTCTCTCATTTATTTTTTGCTCTGCTGGGGATTGAATCCCAGGCCTCACACATACTAGACAAGTGCTCTACCACTGAGCCACCCCCCTCTCTCTTTTAAAGTAAACTGCTAAATGAAAGATGGTGCACATATTGAAAAGCGTGAGTCCTTGGGATATATAATTTGGTGAGCTTTCACAAACTAAACATTGCTGTGTAATAAGAACCCACATCAATCAGAGGTTGAGCTCAACCTCCCGAATCCCCCACCCTAGCTGCTACCTCCTCACCCTGGGCACTGTGAGCCTGATTGCTAACACCATGGTCTAGTTTTGCCTGCTTCAGAACTACTTCCAACCATTGCTGAATGAGGGGTCTCTGGTATGTCACCATGGCATGCTTTCAACTGGCAGGTGTCACCTCATAAAACAGCAGTGCACCAGAACCCAGTCCTGGTTAAATGCATGCATCTTCATTTCTAAGAGGTGGCCACACTGGAGCCCATCTGCAAGCTGTAGCTCCTCCCGGGTACAGTAAGGCAAAGCCATCTCAGATGGATCTTCTGGGCAGGGATAGCAAAACTCACATGACTGCCTCAGTTCCCTCGCCTGTGACCATCCAGACATCACTGATCTTGGCACTTCCTGGCCCACGCCAGTGAGGTCTTGGAACTCAGTACCACATTACCAGAAAGGACAGAGTTATTATGTGAGGTGTGTTACTTAGTTATTCTATAAGTACTTACTGAGTGTTTGCTATGTGACTGATGCCGAAGGAACTAGGCTTTAGGGATACAATGGTAAGAAAGCGACCCTGGTCCTTGGGGAGGAA